AGCCCCTTGTACAAACATTGGAGAATTGGATTGGTCTTCATTCCAGGTGGATGATGGTGGGCTGGCCAAAGCTCAGGACTGTATTCTATAAGCCAAAAACTGGAGCCAAGCAGAACCCAACAAAGGCCCCCTGCAGGTCGAATGGAGCACTGGTGGAGGAACAGGGATATTCATAAATGGATATTCATGAATGGATAAAATAGCCACGAACTCAGCTGTGCTAGATGGGGCAGGGAGTCTCCAGTTAGCAGTGAAAGTCTTTGTGGATATTTGAACAGGCTCATAATATAAATTCATTTGATCTCTAAATTATATTTTTCTTGTTTATTTTTCAAGTCAACCTGGCAGCTTTGATGCTGATTTTGCATGTAAAACTGATGTGGCAGGAAAGGACATACAGTTAACAATGTCCTGGGAATAAGCTCATTCAATTGCAGCCACAATAGAACATGTTATCATATTTGGCAACCTGAATATGTGTTCCCAACTAATGGTCACTCCTGTTTGGCTTAGAATAAATTCTCTCTTAATCCCTTTGGTATAAGAGCTGAAATTTTCTCTAGAGTTACAAAGTGTTACTTCAATGGATGATCCTTAATGAAGTCACTCTTCAGTGAGCTATAGGGAAATGTGGTTTTCACTATGCTTTCTTCCTTGCAGTGAACACTCATTTTTTTCCCTAAAAGCTATTGATTCACTCCCTGTTATACAGATTGCATCTACTAAGATATTCTGCATGGTTTATGGGCTGCTGAGTGGATGAAAATGGTGGAACAGTGAAAACACTGTAGGTGGGGAGAGTGTGCTTCGAAAGTTTGAGAAAAACCACTTGCCCCATTGCAAGTGGGACAGTTTGTAAAAAGGCATGAAGTCTTTTTGGAGAATGGATTGACTTTACCAGTGTGCAAAAGAGAGAGAACCATGTTCCAGACAGAAGGAAGAGACGGGAAAAGCTTAGAGTACAGAGAGAATCCAGTAAATACAAGGGTCTAAAGAAATTAAGTTTTGGGGAGCAGAGAGATAGCTCAGCGGTTAAGAACACTGACTGTTCTTGCAGAGGACCCAGGGTTCATTCCCAGCACCCACATGGCAGCTAACAACCATTCATAACTCCACTTCCAGGGAACCTGATGCCCTCTTCTGACCCCTACAGGCACTGCACGACATAAGTGCACTTACATACATGCAGGCAAAATACTCATACATACAAAATAAAAATAATAAATAAAATGTTTCTTTTTAAAAAAGAAAATGTTTGGCAATGAGCAAAAAGAAGATCATTAGATAGGGTACAAAAGTAGCTTGCAGTGTCTTAAAAACTTAAGTGTTAGATACTTCCAGTGAGCAATGGAAAATCACCCAAAGGCTTAAAGAAGAAATTGATTTGAGGAGCTTTTGTCATTTTAGACAAAGCATAGGTGCTTAAAGCATAGAGAAGAATTTGAGATGTCAGGAAAACCACCCCGTTTCTAAATAATGACAGGCTCTCCCCAGGAAGCTTCAGCAGAATGGAAAAAGTGACTGAGTTCTCAAAATTCAATATTTAGGATTGGATGAAAGATTAAGTTATTAAAATTAGGGGGGTGAAAAAGAAATAAACCTTTTTAGGTTGAAGTCCAGTTCATCTTACTCCTTCCTGAATGGCAGAAGCATACCATGAAGAATATTTTATTAATATATGCAAAAAGAAAATATAAAATTTTACATGTGAACTAGGATCTTAAAATAATTTATGAAAATCCGTTGCTCTATTTTATAATCACTGATACAGAGAAAGGTCCAGTTCATTTCAATTTGGTCACTCTAACCATAATATAAACAATTACTTTTAAGTAAAACAGTATCTTAATATATTTAATTTGTTGTGATAACAGACAATTTCAAATCTAGAAAAAAAATTTTCACTTGTTCAAAAGTAGACAGTAATGAAAGTTTTATAGTATCATAAATTTGTAGTTTCCTCATTTTTCAGACTCTTACAACAGAGGAGACAAAACCGAGTGTAAAGATATATTAACAAAATTTTAATGTAAAATTATAAATGAGATATTTTCTATTCTTTCTGCACTGTCTTTGAAACTGAGTGACTTACAGCTCAGATCATTTCAAACTGTATCCAATCTGAGGCCCATTGCAAGGGAGAGAGTTCGTATTTGGTGCTGTGGACTGGTAAAATGACTGTGTCTAAGGAAGCCATAAACCCTATAGGTGAACCTACTGCTTTTTGCTAAATGGACATGCTGACAAACTGCTTCCTAAATATTTACGTTTCTACCCATAGGCTAGTGCTACCCTTAGACTTAGTCAGAGAAGCTACTGTTTGCAATGAACTGCAGTTAATTCAGTGACTTATGGCTGAGTGTAAGTGACTTCTGAGTGCTCAGCCCCTAATGGGGCATCTATATCACCCCCTCTGTGGCTCAGGGAACATCTCAGGAGGGGTGAAAAGAATGTAGGAGCTACAGGTTGGGGAGAAGGGCTGTGAAGCACTGTCTTCTAGGCCTGGCATGGCCGGTCCACTTGTGAACTCACAGAAGCTGTGGCTACCTGCATGGGGATTGCACCACACTGGACCTGTCAGCGTTCAGTCAAGGATAGTGGAGGGGTCCTTTGGGGCCCAGCTCCTCCCAGGAGGCCTATTGGCTATTGCTAATTGAGGCTGCTGGGGGAGGGGGAGTAACTGTCCTCAGTGATATAGCCACTGGCTCCACACCCATGCCCATGAAGGCAGCCCTGGTTAAGCTCAGTGGGTCACAAAACAAAATAAAGCAAAACACAAATACAGGCTACAGCTGGAGGGAATGAGATACAGGTGGATATGGAAGGGGAACAGGGAGAGTGGGGTAGTGTGACCAGAATGTACTACATACATACATGAAATTGTCAAAGAATGAATGAATTTTTTAAAATTTAGAGTGTTGAGTGGCCTCCCCAGCTAATGACTTTCCAGCTGAGCAAAGTAGTTCTACAACACGGAGGAACGGCTGCAGGCTGGCTTGTTCTTGTATTACCCTGCCTTGATAAGTTTAACAGATGGTCAAGAGGAGTACTGGTGGAAAAAGCATTTTGAGTATGTTTTGTCATGTAGATATGGCCATTAAGTGTAACAGTGAAATGGAAAGAACAGCTAGAGGTTAAAATGTCACTGATGAGGGGCCTGGAGGGATGGCTCAGCAGTCAGGAGTGGAGTTCAGGGCCTGGAGAGATAACTTAGGGGTTAAGAGCACTGACGGCACCTGCAGAAGACCCAACACCCTTGTGGTGGCTAACAACCATCAATAACTCCAGTTCCAGGAGATTCAAAGACCTTTTCTGACCTCCGTGGGTACTGCATGACATGGGTGCACTTACATACATGCAGGTAATACACTCACATATACACATAAAATAAAAAGAATAAATGAAACATTTGGCCCAGTGGTTAAGAACACTGATTGTTCTTGCAGAAGATTAGGTTGAAATCCCAGCTCCCACATGGCAGTTAACAACTGTCTGTAACTCCAGTTCCAGGGGATCCGACAACTTCTTCTGTCCTCCCCGGGCCTTGCATGACATGGATGTACTTACTTACATGCAAGCAATACACTCATACACATAAAAATAATAAAATATTTTTAAAATAAATAAATAAAATAAATAAATAAAAAAGAGCAGCTTTCAGGTCCCAGCATCCACATTGGGTAGCTCACAAATGCTTGTAAGTCCAGCGCCAAAGGATATGATGCCCCCTTCTGGCCTCTGTGAGAACACACATACACACACACACACACACACACTCACACACACACACACACACACACACATACGCATCTTTTTAGAAAAACGAACTTCACTGGTAAAGCAACAGTGCTCAACAAAAAGTCTGAAAAATGGACTGTGTATTCAAAAATCTAAATCCCCCAAATACTCTTAAGTATCTAACTGCAATCCATTTGAAATCATTTAAGTCTCGCCAGGTTCACTTTCATGATGGTCCCTTAGCAGTCATCTCCTTTGGAAGAGGCCACTTTCTTTTGACACCAGCAGTTTAGTAAGTCCACAGCTGGAGATGGCAAACCAGTGTTCATCTTGATTTAATGTTGCTTTAAGTTTATAAGAAAAATGTCCCTGTGTAAACAACAGACATTTTGATTAAACACTAAAGTTCTTATTTTGGCTGTTAAATCAATAATGCAGCTGGCCTTAGAGTAGTTTACATTCCTTCAAAACTGGGCTTCGGTTCAACCAGTACTGCACTGACATCATTTTCCACCAAGGCCTGACCACTCTCAGCAGCCAGGTTAGAAATAATCTTTGCAAACAGCTCCATGATGTTCTGTGTTCACACATTCAACCAGAGGGTCTCTGAAACGCCAGAGCTCAAAATAGCACAGTCCATCCAGAAATAGTGTCTTGGCTAATGGGGAATTTACTAGAACAAACTCCTGAGGTAATTTTAACAACCTGCAAGATAAAGGCCTGGATGACATGATTTGTCTTTTCAACTGAAACGGGCTTTGGGGTTTCCTAGTTTGCTGTGTGAGATAGATCAGTTAATATGCAGCACAAAAGCAAAGAATTGATTTTGGTAGATGGTACACTTTGAGTCCCTGGTGCTTTTTCCTGTAATGAACTCCATACTGAATAATGATGCACTGTTTAATGAGAGCTTAGAGTTAGGAATATGCTCTAAACAAAAAATAAAACCATCTAAACCACACCACTAACATTATAGTCATTTCTTAATGGCAGTTGAATAGATCCTAATAAAACCTGCAAGTTTAAGAGAGAATTAATTGACAACTTGCATATTCAGTGTTAGTAACTAGAGACTATGAAAATATGATAAAATGCTAAAATATATGCATGACAATTGAATAGTTTGAGGAAATAAAGTTCACTAGGATTCTTCTTCAGCAGCAAGACACTCTTGTCTACCTGGCTAAACAGATATATTCTAGAACTCATATTTAAGGACCAGAAAGTAAAAATCTTTGCTTGCAGAACGTCAAACTTCTTACCTGCAGAAACTCTCTGACATTAGATCCTAGGACACGCAGGATGGTATCATAGCCAGACTCTTGACAAAAAACAAAAAACATCTTTCCAAACATTTGCAGGATTTCTCCAGCATTGAGATCTGTTGTATAGGTTACAAAGGAAAAAACGACAGAGCATATTATAGGTGGAATACTGTTATGAGGCTAATATACATTAGTGAATATGCAAATGATTGAAAATGCACATTCCTTTGGGTTTTATCAGTAATGAAGTCAGAAAAGGAAAGATGCATTCAACTTACTGAGGACTTTGCTTGCAGCAGTCACCAGGTCATAAGTTTTAGAATCATCATATATTATTCTGACAAGAAATTGTCCTTCTTCATCCAACTGTGCCTCTTTTCTGGAGAGAATGAGAGATTGACGGAGGGCAAGGTTAAATATAGTTCCAATTCTTACAAAGGGTTTGTGGAGGCAAAATTGTTAGTCCTCCTTGGCCCCCAACCACATCCAAACATGGCATCATGCCATGAAGGGTTCAGGATCCTGTGATGTGGGCAGTGGGGAGCTGACCTCGGAGGAAGGAGCTCCTTGGTCTGACTCCGCGTCGAGAGTGGAGTCACGGAGGGCAGTGGAAGCTAATGAGTGGCTCCTGTCTGTGTGCAGTGACAATGCTGTGAGTGGCTTCCAAGTGACAGAATGACATGCGTGCAGTGGTCCCGAGTCAGGTAAGTGTTTAAATGAAACATGACTTGCTGGGACTGGACTTGGTATAAGGGAAGGAAAAGACTCAGGGATGACAACAAGGTTTCTGGCCTGAGCCACTGCAAGGAGGCAGTCAGTAGTCAGTAGCTGGATTAGGAAACCTGTTCAAGGCAGACTGGAGTAATATCAGAACTATGTTTTAAACACATTAAGTTTGAGATGCCAAGTCAACTGATAAAAAATCTTTCAATATATTCTTCACTTAATAAACACAGTAGTTCAAACTATACACAATAGAGAAGAGAAATCACAGTTATCATTTTAACAGTCATTAGGATTCTAAAAATACATTTATTTTGATAGGATTTGGATTGGTTTTCTCAAACAAGTGTCCAAAACAGAGGAAGAAACCATCCTTTAAATACTGCCGGGTAGAGAAAGACCTGACAAATTCCCAGACACCTTTCCCAATGTGAAATCCACACAGAACACGCAGGGCCATTTCTGACTCAATCCAGCTCATCTGAATTACTGTTCCTTGCTAGAGGAACACAGGGAGCCTGGCCCCTGTAGCAAGGACACCAAGGCAGGTCACAGCCAGTCTCCTCCCAGAAGCTGTGTGCTCACTGCTGCTGCTCCTGACGTTCACTCAACAGGAACATGTTTTATGCACTATCCCAGCACAGAGCATTAAAACCTGTCTTTTCTAAAATGGAATGGCAACAGAGCACGTGTTATTAATTTCAACACTTTCTATAACTGTAATGACATAAAGTTGTGCAAAATTATATTCCAAGTCAATAGAACAGTACATATATTATTAATTAATATAATGCTTCATATGTCTACATTCTCAATTATAGAGTTATATATCAAATGTATCAAATGTGGCCTTGGTCTATTACGCAGACATATATTGCTATCAAGTGAAAGGAAAAAAACTTTTCAAAGAACTCAAATCTTCTTAATATCAAACATCAAGTACAAATAAAAAATTCTGGATATATAATACACAGACACTTATCTTTTGATAAATGCTATTGTATAGTTTAGGCATTCTAATTTCTGAGTGTAAAAATTCATAAAGCACAGGAAAGGAAAAACTAAAATAAATAATAACCTTCTGCTAGCCTGAAATAATCAAGTTTCTCATACTTTACTACATGGGAACATATATCAGGTGCCAATAATGCCTCCAATTTCAACTCCATATTTGATGGATATCTTTTCAGTTCAACAAATGTACTTCGATGTCATGACCATATAAAGTTACATTGTTTAGACACACTGAAATCTTAGTAGAGAGATGTATACTTTTTAAAGAAATTTTTAAAGTGCTTTTATTATCTTCCACAAGTAAAACAATAGTATAATGAATATCTTTGTAACTAATTGTATTTATATATAAAACAATAAATTCTTAGGGATGAAATTGCTAGTTTGAAGGATATATCTATCCTAACTATTACTTTTCATTAATATTTTAGGGACCAACACTAGTGTACTGTACACAAGGGAACTCTAATATGACCTAAGACATACTAATAAAATATATACACATATTAGTCAAATGTATAATAAAATGTAAATTAATTCATATCCACTATGTTCTGGTCTTCCCTTCCAATTGAGTTAAATCAAGTCACATACATTTTTGCAATGAACTCAGTTTATCTGAAACACAAACCCATCCACAGGGACCCTTCAGTGAATGAGAAACAGTCTACACTCCCTGTGCATAAAGCAGAGGACCTGCCACTTCCAGAGAAAACCCCTAGTCAGGGGCCAACCATTCTTTCTGACCTGTCTGGTTATTGAAACAAGCCCCTTTATGGCTCAAGCTTTCCTTCCTGAAATGATCTCTCCACAGGCTCCCTTAAGGGAGTTGAAGCACAAACTATGAGGGAAGTAGTGTCTACTATAGACATGTCATGCTGAATTCCACTGAACTGTTCAATGATGTTAGGACTCCTTACATTTATCTCAGAAGTCTTTGGGAATATCCAGTTGTTTGTTTGCTTTTGTCACAGATACTTGCGTGCCTATTATTCTCCAGGCTCTTGCAAAGCACTTTTTGTATGTCAATAAAGAGTTGGGTTTTTTTGTTTGTTTGGTTGTTTTAGTAAAGATTAGGACATCTACCTTCACTGAACTTCTGTAGTTGGCAGAAACAGGAAATACATAACAGTTAAATTTCATAGTAAACTACTATGTGACAAATGCTGCAAGTTAAGGTAGACAAAATGAGAGTAGTGATGAAGGATGATGGGGTGAGATACCACATTCCACACAGTGATGCACTGTGGAGGTGCCACCTGAGGCGTGAACAGGCTCAATGGCGGCCAGCCATCACTCACTCAGCCTTGCTGGAACCAGTGCTAGTTTCTGAAGCCCAGTTCCCATCTAATTCCATTTTCAGGGGAAAATCTAACTAAAGAATCACAAACCCTTGACTGCAGTGGATTATCAGACTGAACTGAGCAGGAGCATGCATGCGTGGTTCGCCAGGAGGCAGAAGACAGAAAGGCAAGCATTGGCAACCACTAAAGGTCTAAGGATTCCCAGAGACACCTTCCCCTCTGCCTCTCAGCACTTGATGCCACTTCTGCTTTCTGACAAATTCACATTGGATTAAACTCCATGCTGCCAAAGTCTTAGCCTGCAGAGGCGTCACAACCACTCCCAGTGCTCTTCGTGACAGACCCACCACTACTACCAAGTAGGAACATCAAGGACTTCCCTTTCTGTTAAACATTTACCTCTCTTTATTTTTAGAGATTTTGTTTTTCTTCACCAGTTACATGATTGTGACAACATAGAAGGTGGCCAGCAAATGTAAGGAAAGTTAGGAAGCAAGCTAACATGTAGATTACATATGCAACTTACAGAATTCAGGCTATAGTATATTATAGCTCTCCATTTCTTACTTTATTATCCCATAACTTTTACCATTTTTCTTAAAATAAAACAATATATGTGTGTGCCTATATCTGTTAAATGTAACATATCTAATAATTTATGATGCCCCAGATAAACTAAAGTGAACTCAGTAGAGTTCATCTATTAAATAACAACTGATGTTCTGTAGTCATTTCGTTCTGCTGCTCCCTGTTATTAGTAACAGTATGGTTATTTTTATATTATACTTTTAATTTCTTTGGGTAAGCCCAAATGAATGTCATCTCCCACTATTTCCAAAAAGAACAAGTCGCAACACTCCCTGTTACTTTACCTGTTGTGACATTGACTCTGCTTAGGTCAAGCACTGAAGCCTTTGGCTCAAGTCATCACTCAATGAAAGTAGTCATCAGAGAGTCATAAATACTTAGAGAGGGTTTATTTTAAAGTGGCCTGATTAAGGCTGGATAGGGTGGAAAGGATCTTCAATACACACACACACACACACATACACACACACACACACACATACACACATGAACAAGAAAATCTAGACAGAAACGCTCTCGGTTTTCTCCACATCATAACCGTATCTTTCTTCGTGTAGTAAGCCAAAGAACTAAACTAATCCTGTATGCAGCTGCACTGAGTTTGTGTCAGGGGCTGTCCACTTCTGGACATTCTCTTCCTTGTCTTGTGTAGAACACAGCAGCAGAAGCGCTCCCCTCCCGTCACCATGGCAATTAGCAAAGTCAGCCTGTGACTCTCACACACTGAATGCATGGATCAGCAGAATAAGTTACAGCAGCTGAAGAGGGTAAAGGAAGAGGGTGCAGAGGAAATGTCAACAGGAGAGAAGAGAGGAACAGCATCCAAAGCAAAGGAATTTTTACTCAGCATAAAATAAAGCAAATCTGCACTTTGCTGATGAAATTTATCAATTCTAATAGTATAGTCTGAAACAAATAAGTTCTGTCACTCCTGCATGCTTTAAACATAGTGGTCAAATTCCTGGATGGGGACAGAATGAAGAACAATCATAAACTATGTGTTCAAGGCCACGATAATGTGTTAAAACTTGGGTGTACATAAGTGGCATTTTCCTTAGAACAATACATTTCCTACTTACTCTTAGAGACTGATATTTGTTGTAACTTAAACCAATGTTTTGCATCTACTAAGTATATTTCCAAACAAAATGGTAGCGGGTATCTTTAACAGAATGGTGTTTAATGGGTTGAGATTTTTGTTAAAAGTAATTACTGATGCCTACAAGTTACTGAACAATCACCCACTAAATACATATATGTACATTTTTAAATGAGAGGATGAATTGATTAAATGCACTTTTCCACAAATTTCTACACTCCACACTAAAAATCAAGCTATTAAACATTATCTTTTCTTTTTGAAATAAAAAATATTTTGAATATTTAAAAAAAAATCTGGATACACAACTTGTCCAAAATGCCCAAGCAACAGTTTTTATAACTCTACTAAAACAGATATGGATTTCCATATGTGAACATGGAAGACTGCGTTCATTTCCCACCCTGAGCTGCTGCTGCTACTGTGCAGTTTCCCAGAAAGTGGAAGGTCAATGCCTTTACATAGAGAATTTTCCCATGGAGCCATGAAAGAGGGTGTTCTGAAATAGGACAGCTTCAGAAAAGCATGTTTCCACATGTATCCACATGTTTCCAGGAAGTATCAAAATAAAAATGATGAGGTCCCAGCTAGAAAAGATCAACAGGCATCAGTGAACTTAACCCCAACAGCCCTGAGGGCTGCTGATTCTGA